TCACTCGCGTGGTACCCACGTAAGAGCCCGCCAAAGTTTTTTAAGGGTAAGTTGATAACTCGCGAACCAGAAAAGCTAGAAAGCTAAAACCTTGAGGGGATGTTCCCCGTCCAAGCAGATATTAATGTGCTCAAACCCAGCCCTCGAGTATGCGTAGTACCCGCGTACGAGCCCGCCAAAATTTATTCCGGGTAAGTTGATAACTCGAGAACCTGAAAAGCTAGAAGACTGTAATATTAAGAGGATGTTTCCCATTCACATTAGTCTCAGCGAGCTCGAACCCAGCCCTCGGTCATGCGTAGTACCTACGCACGGTTCACTAAAGTTTTCCTCGGGTAAGTTCATAACTCGAGAAGCTGAAAAGCTAAAAGTCTGTAGTTCAAGTAATTCGCAAAGAGCTCAAACCCAGACATCAGATATGCGTGTTACCCGCGTGTGGGCCCGTGGGAGTTTTTTCCCAGTAAGTTGCTAACCCAGGAGCCTCAAAAATTAGAAAGCTGGAATTTGAGGGGGGTGTTTCTTGCCAATTCTGGCGGCCAGTCTTAAATTGTTTAGATAGAAGCATTTGCCGAAAAAACCGATGTCGGTAGCGACAAAAACTGCGGGGAACTATGCAAAAAACGCATCTTCGCACGGGCAGCCCGTGCGTTGGCCAATTATTTATATTATATATTATTACTAAATCCACTACACCCATTTATTTTCCGGAGAGCAACGAAGTGCCGAGACTAGTTAGATCACAGTCAACCAACGTAAGGTCCAATTGTTATGGCAAAACAATTTACTGGCTGCAACAAAAAATTCGCCGTTACACTCGGCTGGGAGGCTTCGAGATTTTTGCAGCTCAGCAAGTACGTGTATACAGCATCTCAGAGGAGCTGCCGGTACGATTTTTCTTTTTTTTTGAGTTTGTCCCAGCACCCCGCACCGAGCTAATGTGTGCTTACCTTCGCGAGCCCGTTCATTGCCGTTGTTATCCTGAAAAACAGGCATGAAGCATGATCTTTCCGTCGATGTAAATTTTAAAAAGCTAAAGCACCAGCGGACTATTCCTGTCGGGAAATTAAGTGAATTATTTTGGAAGCACTGTGATCAAAAGCTGCTACTCGATCGGTCACTAATGAGAACTTGACCGTCAGAATTGTGCAAGCGTCTCGGTGTGTTGCTGTTTTAAGACATCGCATCCATTTGGATCGTGACGATGACCCTTCCACAGTCCAGCCCAAAACGCATTAGGACTTCTTCCCACTGGGAGCTAGAAGTGCACTGCTGATTCCAAATCTAGGAAATGCAACCGTGGCAGCAGCTCTGTAACGGGTCTGAGGTGGTGACCAGCGTTCTGATGATTACTCCAGAAAATACACACAGATACGTGTCAATTTTTAGTGGCGGTTTTCCTTTTTTGGATGTCTGTGCTTTAATCGGGCGCACTTCGACCAGTAGGCATTTCGCCAATCGCAGCTTATTCTTAAAAACAAACGCAGGCAGTAAATCAGAATTTTCCCCGAATTAACAGTTGCTCCTTACAGAAGAAACATCTAGCACCAATACATTATTTCTCGAAAACGCCCCTATATTTAGTAGTAAGCAGCCTCAGCAATTTTCTCCAAATCCCACTTCCCTCTCCTCCAACCCCACTACTTCCCGGATCTCTCAGTCAGTACGCCCCCTCCCAAAGCCTCTTATTGCTCATCAGGCGACTGCACGATGCGATATCTAAAAACACCAAAAAGACGCGACGCCCAAGATGTTTCAGCAACGGTATATTTGCAATGAAATGAAACGGAATAACCGCGTGCTACCACCTCCAACTTAACAACTGCAC